CAGAGACCTCGGCATCTGGGTCTCAAACTTTGGAAGAGCTAACAGAAAACACGGGAAAGACTTGAAGCCAAGGGCACTGACAGCAACTTCCTCAATAAGATACTAATACCACTGAAAATAATAATAACAATCAACAAATAGTGTGCAATCGCATTTTAAAATTTCTGCACAGCAAAGGAAACTAACAGAGTGAAGAGACCACCTACAAAATGGAGGAAAATCATTACCAGCTATTCTTCAAATGCAGGTTTTACATGTAGAATACATGAAGAATTCCAGAGTGTAACATAAAAAATAGCTCCATAAATAAATGAGTAAAACAATACAACAGGTATCTCTCAAAGGGATAAGTACAAATGGCCAATAGGAATACCAGAAAATGTTCATAATCTTTGAATAATAAAGAAATGCAAATTGAAAGTAAGGAGATTCCACTTTCTTGCAACCAGCATGTATCTCATCAAGAATACAAATGGCAATAAATGCTGGTGAGGATGCCCGGTTCCTTCTGAGATTACAAATTAATAGAGCCACCATGGAAATTGGTACGGAATTTCCTCAGAGGAATAAAAATAGGGCTCCCCTGGGTCCAGCAGCACTGCTCCCCAGCACACACCTGAGTGAAGTCAGCAAAGTGTAAGGATGTGTGCACACCCAGGGGGAGTGCAGCCCAGCTCACAGTGGTCAGGATATGGACACACGTAACTCCCCACCAACAGGTGACAAAGGAAAACGTGACATTATGTATACAATGGGGCAGTACTAAGTCCTAAGGAGAATGAAATTCTGTGATTTTCAGGAAATTGAGGGACCTGGAGATCATCATCTTGAATAAATAAGTCAGATTCAGAAAGACAAGTGTCAAATATTCTAATATGTAGAATATTTAAAAGTAAGAAGAAAGTAGAAGAGAATTTATTTTTTATTAGTCAAGAGAAAGGAAATAACAGGAAGGGGTGTGAGGGCCAGTAATAAGGGGTACGGATACGAGCACAAAACATAACATATGTTAGAACTCCCCAAAATGTAAAGCTTGGGAGGAAAGAGAGGCAACAGGTGGAGGAGGAATTGAACGATTGTGTGTGCATGTATGAAGCTTTCTAAATGAACCTATTGAGATTCATGAACATATTAAAAACCTACTAATTTGGGGGAGAAACACAAACAGCTACTTTCTCAGAAGTCTCTGTTTATTTATTACTCCCAAGTTGCAAAACAACGGAGCCTTCGTTGACACTAACCCAGGGTCAGCCTCACCCAGGTGTCTGCACTGCTTCTTGAGAACACTTTCATTTCTCAGCTGGGCTGTCTTGCATATTCCTTGAAAACTAATTGAACATGAATGTATATCTGAGTCTATTTTTGTAATACCTATTTTTCTACTTTTATACAATACCTGCTTAACTTAGGTCTTTTATGCTCACCAATATCAAATTCTATGGAGTACTGTACTTTACAATAAGGTTGAAGGTTGAATCCTCCAGGGTTGCTGAGTTGGGATTATTTGAACATCTTTACTTTCCATATAATTTCAGAGTTGTTTCTTCAGTTCATATGAAGAATTAGAGTTTAAATTCATAGCTCATTGAATTTATGTCAGAATTTGGGAGGTTTGCATCTATTGAATCTTTTCATTCATGAGCATAACATATATTTCCATTTACTAAATTCTCTTTAATTTCTATAGGCAATATTATGTCCTTTTTAGAACAGAAGTCTTAGTAATATTTAATAATATAGAAAACATACAGATGTGAAAAAGGCATATATAAAAGCTCTTAAAATTCAATAAAATACTGAATATTACGATGACCAAAATATCTGTGCAGAGTTTTCAAAAAGAAAATAGATGAACATGAAAAGATGCTCTTCCTCAGGGGTCAACAAAGTACAGCCTATGACCCAGCGGCAGTCACGAGTCGGCTTTTATGAAGTTCAATTACAGCAGTGCCATTGGCTAATCAAGGATGTGTTGCATGCTTCAATGGTGGAAATGAGAAGTTGTGATAGAGAATGAATGACCGTCCAAGCTCAGAGTTTGGTGCTTACTACTTGCCGCTCTCTGAATAAAGTTTGCTGATGTGTCTTATATGATGTTAATCACAAAAATGTTAGCAAAAACCACAGTAAGATACCACTACATAACCATTATGTTCAAAAGTTAAAAAAAAAAAATGACTAAAAAGAACATGGCTCCCCAGGGTCCGAGCTGTCTAATTTAGAGGCTGTGTAAGGGCGCATGCACTTCAGCGTGGAGGCTTAAACCTGACTTGACATGGGTAAGGGAGGCCGGGACAAGGGAGTCAGGCAGTAACTCAGCCCAAGGCCCAGCACGTGCCTCTCAAGTAAGTGCCCACAGGGTGCCAGACAGACATTTCACATCCCGGTAACCCTGCTTTTTCTTGACCTAGCTGACACCCTAATCAACTCCTCCAGATGTCACTTGGAAACGCCTTGGTTGAGGGCTGCAGATATTTCTAACAGACCCAACAGGGCAGTCTTCTCTCCTCTACAGTAATTCCTGGTCCAGAAGAAGAAGCAGCCATCACGCAGCTCAATTAGCAGGGTTTGATGAGCAGAAGAAGTCTTTGTGTCCGGCATCCTGTGAATGGATAAAGAACACACGTGTTTCACACATTTATCACAGCAGAGTACTGCTCAGCCATGGGTGTGCAGCGAGTACTATGCAGACAAAGTATAAATTTGAGTCATTCGCAGGAAAATCGATGCACCTGGACTCCATAATGCTAAGTGAAATGAACCAGACACAGGTTGTATAATCACTTGGTTTCTCTTATATGAGAAACCCAAACTATAAATAATTTTTAAAATTTATTTTGAGTATAGTAAAAACCCAACAGAATGAGACAGAACAAAGCCATCAAGACAATGTAGTGACATTGGTACAGAATTTCAAAGCAGGAAACTGGGATCATAGTAATAGGTACTATATTATATCTCATTATCTTCACAATAGTTGTATAGAAAATTAGGTATAGCGAAATCAAACCAATAACAGAACATTGTAGAACCAATTGAAGGAGAATATTAAATAGAGCAAAACATGTATTATAAAACATATCAGTGAAAATAACTTTTGCCTTCAAACAGAACATAGAAGAAAATCCCCCTTATTTGCTATACTGCATATGTTCATCCTCCCTAGAGATGCTCAGAACTCTGTCCCCAGTTGCTGGGTGAGGAGGTAGGCTCATGGGGACAGCTGACTGGTTCTCCAGACAGCGCCAGGGGTGTTTACCAAGAGAGCGAGCAAACTGCTTTCTTGGGCAGCCGCCTATGTCCCAACATAGCCGGGTCTCGGGTAGCCACTGGGTCTCCATAAATAAAGAGCAAAATATAAGATAGTTGAGAGGACAAAGCCACACAGACTTTGTGGAAATGGAAAGGGGGTCCGAATACGGAAGACACGAAGAAGTAAAGTGGATCAATATGTGATGTGTGTACACACAAACACTCCACAACCCATCCACTTATTACGTGTCACAAATGGAAAGAATTCAACACTGAAAATATGCAATCAGATCCCTTAATAAAAACAAAGTCACCGGAAATTGTTCACAGGAGGCTGTCATCTCTCTGCACAGCCACAAGGGGGCAGTGCTGACTCAGATCAGAGTGAAGGCTCACACACAGCCAGAGACAAGCTCTTCAAAAAGAAAACCATTCTCTTCTCCTCTGCTTCAGCTTATTTTTATATCAGATGTCAATTCATGTATGTATCTACCCATCAATCTAAATAAAGGCTGTCAAAGTCACAGCCCGTCAGCTTCACACCTTGAAGCTGCTGGAAAATCTCTTGCTGTCACGCCACACAGAGGGAGCATTTTCTGCTCTCTAGAAAGGGTCTGCATCTGCCCTACAGTTTGAGGCTATCTGTGGTTTAGACATTTACTTGAGGTCTTGGAACATAACAACCACAGATAAGGGAGTATACACTAAACACAGAAAAATCTTAAGCCATTAAAGCACTTCCTGTCTGACACGGCCACAGAATGGGACTGGACAGACAGAGGGACCTGCACCACTTTCTCCTCCTGGATTATGATGATGGTTTTCCCTGACCGGAGCTGAGACGACATATAATACAAAGACAAAAATCCATCCTGCGCTTCCTGAAAACCACCTGCACTTTGTCCTTTTTACTTCTATTATTTATAACTGAGACCATTCCTCCTTTTTAGGCTGCTTTAGAAATCATCACTTTTTGCCACTACTGCCTCATGGTGGAAACATCCATAGCAAATTAATTCTTTATATTTTCATTTTCATCCATGAGATTAAAGAAAATATTCGACATCGAATCAAACTCAGAATCAGAGTTACCAAAAATGCTTTATTTCTGAACAGCCAAGTTCTCATGTCTTCTGAAGTCAGCAAAACGTTCTCTTCCTCTTATTAGAAGGTCACAGCTTTTCCAGGATAGTTCGTTACAGGACATTCTAAACTTTTTCATCAGATATTCTTTGAAATATTTAATTTATCTGAGATACATTTTATAAAAACTGCAAAGAAACTGACTTTGACTTAATTGTTTTCTATCATTTCTTAGTTATAAAATAGGAACACACCTAAAAGACTGTAAAAAATTGAAGTTTCCAGAGAACAAAAAAGACAAAGCATATATAATTCCACGACTTTAGATTATAATGTCATATTTTGTCAATTGTGTGATGTCAGAAACTGTAAGATTTATATGAAAAGTGAAATGTCTTGTATCTGTTAACTTTTGGCTTTATGGGATTCCTTCTCTTTCATTGTTGTATAATGAGATGATTTTTATTGACAACATGTGAGATTTAATATTCTAGGAATTAAAAAGTGTAGAAAGAGATTAACAGAGAAAAATTATAAACAAATACTCCATCTATATAGAGTGGATTTCTCATTTCAAAAGACAAAACTGGCCCAAGTTGGAAAGTGCTTCCTGTGACAGAGATTAAGTGAAAACACCTGCAGGGGTGGAGCCTGCTGACGGAACTAAAGTGGGTGTGAGTCAGGCAGAGCTCCAGCGGCCTGGAGACCACAGACCACGGGGCTGGCACTGAGCCCTGGCTGCAGGAGGAATGGACAGGATTCTGGGAGCCTCAATTCTGATTCTCGGCCTCCAGAGGGCATGTGAGTGTAGAGGAGAAACCCCGGGGTATGTGTTAAATGAGGGAATGAGAACATTGGAGAACAGAAAACAACACACAGGTAGAAACTTTAAAAGCAAAATAAATTTTAGGGCCTAATGACTTATTTTTAAAAATCTTTCTAAGCAGGGGTGAGCGGCCAACAGAACGGTAAAAGTAACCAGCAACAGGTGAAACAAAATCCTCCGTATTTGACAGTCCAGGAAGGAGAGACTTCGATTCTGAACTGCTCTTATGAGGACAGTGCATTTGACTACTTCCCGTGGTACCGGCAGCTCCCTGGTAAAGGTCTTGAACTGCTGATCACCATACGATCAGTTGTAAATGAGAAGGAAGATGGAAGATTCAAAGTACTGCTCAAGAGGAGTGACAGAGAGCTCTCTTTGCATATCGGGACTTCTCAGCTTGGAGACTCAGCCACCTACTTCTGTGCAGCAGGAGCACAGTGCTCTCCAGACAGCTGCAGCCTGTGCACAAACCTGCCCTCGCTGCTAGAGCACGACCTGCCACAGACTTAGGCTAGGAGTGATGTAAGCTACCTTAATTTATAGAAATAGTTATAAATGGATAGATACAAACTCACTAGTGTGCTAGTACAATAAGGTGGTCAAGGAACTAAACAAAATAAACTCAGCTTCGTGAATGATCAAACTGTAATGCTGAGATTCCATCTTAGTCCAGAAAGAATGGCTATTATCAAGAAATTGGCCAATAACAAATGCTGCTGGGGTGTGGAAAAAAGAACCTTGCTCCACTTTGATGCCAGTATAGATGTAATCACTGTGGAAATCTGTGTAGAGGTTCTCTCTACTATTCTCCTTCTTGACATTCTTCCAAAAGAATTAAAAGCATCATACCACAGCAGTGTATGTGCACCCACATTTATAGCAGTAGTTTTTAATAGGTATTTTGGAAATAACCCAAATGCCCATCAACCAAAGGGTGGATAAAAAAGGCATATTTTTGTTACAATGGAGTACTACTTGGTCATAAAGAAGGATAAAGTAGAGACTTCTGTAACTAAATGGATGCAACTCAAGACCACACTGTTAAGTGACGTTAATTGGAAAAAGGTGTGAATATTGCATTGCCTTATAGATGTGTGAACCTGAAAGTGTAAATAAACACCAAACTGTCTAATAGATATTGTGAAATAAGAAGTTATTCAACAGAAAGGAGAGAAAGGGTGTGGGAGGGAGAAAGGAAGAAAGGGAAATGAAATAAATAAGAAAAAATGATAAAATGGAAACAAAGCTTTGTGCATACGGAAGAGAAAAGGCTTGAAGGAAGGGGAGGGGATGGGGAAAAAGAGAATTCAAGATACATCATGCACAGAAAAAATTCCCTATGATAACATATTATATATGTAAATTTAGTAATGAAAAACTAAATGCTTTGAGATTGTCATAAACACCCACACATTTGTGTAGCAAATGGGCTTTTACACATTGCTAATAAGGATGCAAATTTTCATGACCAAATTGGCAAATCTCTTAGCAGTTTCTTGTTTAATGATCTTACCTAAAGAACAGAAATTCCATGCCTAGATTGAAGAGGATATCAAAAAATGGAAAGATGTCCCTTGCTCTTGGAGAGGAGGAACCAACATAGTGCAAATGGTCATACTCCCAAAACTGCTATACATAGAGGATGCAATCCCAGTCAAAATATTGTTAGCACACCTCACACATTAGTGAAAAACATTGCTTAAAGTCAGTTGGAACCAGAAGAAACCTAGTAAAAGAAATTCTGGGCAACAAAGGCAAGACAGGAGGGGTCACAATACCAGACCTGAAGTTATACTACAAAGGTACTGTAACAAAATCAACAAGGTACTGTTAAAAAACAAACAAAACAGGACTGAGGTTCACTGGAGCAGATAAGATGCAAGCACAACTACAAACGTACTCAGTCACTTTACCTTTGACAAAGGGACCAAACATACATGTTCATTAGGAAAAAACCTTCATAAATGGTGCTGCACAACCTGGCTTCCCATTTTCCAAAGACTAAAACTAGAGCAATGTCTATCCATGCACTAAAGTGAAAATGAATAAAAAACTAAATATTAGAACAGAAACAATTTATTAGAAGAGAAGATAGAAATCTTGAAGACATAGGTGTAGTAGAAAATTCATGTACAGATGCTAGACTGTAAGGGAAATGCTACATAGAATCAACAGATGCGATCTCACTTTATTGAAAATGTTTTGCACATCAAAAGAAATCCTTAACGAGTGAAAAAATCCACAGATTGAGAAACCTTACAGTCACCTTTCCCTCAAATAAAGGATTTGCGTCCAGGACATATGAAATATTAAAAAAATCAGACCCTCCCCAATTCAAAAACTCAATTCAAAAATGGGCATTTGAGATGAACATAAACTTCTCCGATGAAGAAATACAAATGGCAAATAAATACTGAAAAAATGTTCAGCATCATCATCATTCAAGAGATGCAAATTAAAACAACTCTGAGACTCCAACTCACACTAGGAAGAATGACTGTCATAAAAAAGTTAACTGGTAACAAATGCTCGTGGGCCTGTGTGTGTGTGGGGGGACACTTCTCCACTATTAGTGGGAGTATAGACTGTTACAACCATTGTGGAAATCAGTGTGGAGATTCCTCAAAAAGTTTGAAAGACTTTATGCTCCGTAGGATGACTGGGTAGATGCTCTGTGCTGCACTCACACTGTGGACAAATACTAAGCAATGAGAAGGAGCATCTGTGCTGCAAACAAACAAAAAAAAATCATGAAACTTGAGGGCAGTAGTGAAGCAATCATCACTAAAGATGATATAATACAGAATTTAACTTAAATTCCTTTCTTCAATTGACAGCATGTAGAGTCATTTTTGAGATCTGTGATTCTCAGGATTTGTAGGTGGGAAGGTGTGTGCAGGGAGGGTTTGTGGGTGACAGAACATTCCATGTCAATGACAGTGGCAGTTACACTTACTCATGCATGACAGGTTTTCATGGAATTGTACACACACTCTCTCACAAATGCTCACAAAAATTGATGGTACATGTCCGTACAGTAATGTATAATGATATATAAGCATGAGGTTATCAATTTTGCAATGGTATATAGTATGATAATGTGACCTGTTAACAGTGGAGAAATCTGAGCATGCAAAAGAAAGCTACATTAGTGTTTAGCTTCTATGATTCTACAACTATTTAAATATAAAAAGTAGTTAAGGGAAACAACCATATTCTGATGTATTGCTAGACTGCATTCAAACTGACAATAAATTCAGCAGATTCTTATAAAACCAAACATAAATCTACCATGACCTGTATTTCTGCTCATTTACCCAAAAGAGATGAAAACACAAGTCCATGAAAAGATTTATATGAGAATACTCATAGTACATTTATTTGTAATAGCAACAAAGTAGGGAAAATGTCTACAGAGATTAAGTTTATTATGCTATAAAATTTAATAGAATGTTAATCCTCTATTAAATGGACTGAACCACTAATACTCATAACAAGAGATATAAACCTGCTGCATGTTATGTGTCACACAGTAGCTAGACCCAAAATGATCTAAATTGACTGCATTTATATGAAATTCTGAAATAGGCAAACTAACCCACAGTGAAATAGAGCAGAACCTCGGTCACACTGTGGTTTGGAAGTTTTATGAGTGAGGCACAAGGGATTGTGCGGGAGTGAAGGAAGGAAATTTTCTTATTTCTTGATTTAGGTGTGGTCTGCAAGGCTGTTTACAGTTTTCAAATTTCCACCAAATCTATTATTCATAACATTTTCATGCATAATTTGTGCTACGATAAAAAATAAAATACAGAAATAAATCAAATAGGAAACAAAGCCAAAGCAATAAAATGTTTAATGTGACAATGGACAAGTTTGAAGAAATAAAACATATGTACTTGATAACGTTGCTAATAGAAAAATAGACAACAGGTAAGCAGTGTGGTGAGCTAAATGTCCCTGAAGCTCTCTGTGATGGAATCGTCTCTGAACACGTTATCTCACACAGTGCATTCATGTCCTAAGGCTTCCAGGGCAGAGAACCGCAGATCTGACGGCTAACAGTGTCAGCCATTCACTGCCTCCCAGTCCCAGAGGCGCTCAGTGAGATCAGCTGTGGGCTCTCCGTGCCCACCCTGAGCGCTCTAAGGAGGAGCTCTTCTGAACCCTCTCCTCTCCTAGGAGTCTTATGCTCCTTGATGGTCACGTCAACTCTGTGTCACCTTTGAGTGTCACCCCTCTGTGTGCTTCCCTGCCTGTTCACATTGCGTTCCTTTTACAAGCCCAGCCTTATTGTAGGAACAACTGAGCCCCACCCCCCCAGCCTTAACTAGTGCATCTGTGGCAACTGTGTTTCCAAAAAATGATCGCATTCAAATGTCCTAGAAAATCAGCATATTAATTTGGGGAACAAAATGTGACAGAATTATGATTAAACAGAATTTGTAGATCAAATTAATATAAAGATCTAGACATGAAGAGTCTATCCTGAATCATCCTGATTGGTCTAAGCATTAGAAAAAAAAAAAAAAGTACTCACATATAGAAATGAAGACACCCTCTAAAAGCTAGAAGCATAAGAAATCTGACTACTCTCTGCAGGGTTAAAAGGAAGCAAACTGACTATACACTAGTGAAACTGATTTACAGATTTGCAATCGCCAGAATTCTCAGAGAATTGTTTGCATTAATTTCTGATACCAAGTATGTAATTTATTGAGGCAAACTAAGAAAATGATAAAAACAGTAATAGGAAACACAGACAAGTAAATATATCCAAAATATCAATTAAAAAAAGATAAAATTAAATATAATTTTTAACATAAATTTTAAAGATATGAAGCAAAGAAACTACTTTAAAGAAATAGCATATTGTCTAAAATAACTCAACATAAAATAGAAAAACAATAGATTTATAACCCCTAAATGGACCTGATAATCATAAATAACAATTCCTACAGAATTTGTAGTAAAATAGTATTTTAACTGGCATGTTTTCTCTGTTAAAAATTTAAATCAAGGTACTTTATAAGATACATTTGTAAACTACATAGGAAATAAAGTATTAGGAATTAAGATTAGGAAAGAAATTGCTATACAGGAAAAATATTAAAATAAAAACATAGAAGGATCCAAATGCAGTTCAAAGAGGAAATAAAAATGATCCGTGAGCATGTTCAGCATCAACATGTTTAACACTTGTCATAGAAAATTGGGGTGAAGCAAGATGGCTATTGTTTCTATCAGTTAGAATCAAACTCTGATAACATTGCATATTTGCAGTAACATAGGGAGAAGAGGTTGTCTGCTTTCCAAGGTGGATAAATATAAGAACACAGTGAACAATTTAGGTAATTATTTAGGAGAATGCTTTACCTAAAGTAGTTAAAATATAGCTCTAAAATTGCAGCCCCATCAATCCTGATATCTGCCTTTTAAACTTTTAAGCTAGATGTGGTGGTGCCCACCTATAATTCCAGCACTCAGGACACTGGGATGGGAACAGTGCCATGAATTCAAGGCCATCCTGGGCCACAGAGTAAGCTCAAGGTCGTTCTGAATCTCATGAGACCCATTTAAAAAAAACAGCACAAATATTTATGTAGGTGAACAAGGAGACATCTTCTGGTATACAGAATTATTTTAAAATGTAAAAATAATCAGCAGTGGGTAGGAAAATTGTGTATTCATACTACAAAAATATGGAGCTTTTTCAAACAAAAGAGTGACTCCACACATGCTGCATTTTCTCTTTTAAAATGTAATGTTCAATATAAAAAATTCTTGGAATGATACGTACTGAATCTCCAAATACACATAAAATATTGTGCTTCATATCTATAATGTCAAAATCTGAAGAGTTTAGTATGGAATCTTCCTGAGGGCAATTCTACCTTTGGAAAGACAAGAGAAAGAACAGTGGCTACTACTTCATCTGTCTTTTTGTACCAGAGATGGAACTCACAACCTTGCCCTTGCCAGGCAGGGGCTGTGCCACTGAGCTACATCCCCAGCCCAATACATTGTTTTTTTTGACAAAACAGCTAGAAACATACAAATGAATGCAAGTCCACATTTCAACATATTTAAATAAACAAAAACTATAATAATAACA